AATTGAGCAATGAGAACACTTGGACACAGGAAGGGGAACCTCACACACCAGGGCCTATTGTGGGGAGACCGGAGCGGGGAGGGATAGCATTAGGAAATATACCTAATGTAAATGACGAGTTAACGGGTGCAGCACACCAACATGGCACATGTATACGTATGTAACAAACCTGCACGTTGTGCACATGTACCCTAGAACTTAAAGTATAATAATAAATAAATAAATAAGAAAAGCAATGGGACAAGAGCACGGGCTGCAAAGCGAGCGCTTGGTGTCGCCAACCTAGACAGAGCCATGGATTCAATCTGGGAGAGGGAATATAAAGTAGCAAGAGAAGAGGGCTGAAAGGATTCCAGGCAACACCAGCCTCGAGGGAGGGAAGAAGAGGTGCCAATGAATGGGACCTAAAAAGAAGTAGTTGTAGAATTCAAGAGAAAGCCAGGATGGAGTCTAGTCACAGAAGCCTAGGGGAGAGAGCAGGAGGAAGCAATGAGGTCCGTCAAAAGCTGCAGAGGATATAGTGCGGGGAGTGAGGCTTGAAGATGGAAAATGAAGGTCGCTTGTGATTTCTAATGAAGACTCCAGAAGAGGGGACAGTAAACAAAAGGAGAAATAGGCTAGAGGGCTGCAAAGGTCTCCTCCTCCCCACTTGCAACAAACAGGTAGGATTGAGTGTTGGGTGGTTTGTGTAGTTAAGATGGAAGGGAGCATTAATAAACAGGGCTAGAGAATGGAAAGCTGAATCCACAGGGGCAAGGGCAGGGGCAGCTAGGCTTAGAACTGGAAGGCAAAGGTAGGTAAGGGAGTAGACAGTGGGTGGGATTTATAGAACTTTGTATAGGGGAAGGCCAGGAAGCTGAAATTGCTCATACCTAATAGCATGTGAAGGTAATCTCCCCAGAGAGGAGGAAAGAAGGTGAGAAAATGAAAAGATTTGAGAAGAGTGATAAAAGCCTTCAGCCAGGATGGAAGCTTCCAAGCGTTTTATCCAAAACACTGTTAAGATAATGTTGTTTTGCCCTGGTAATAAGGTTTAGACTTTTCATTATGTGCTTTCAGTTGGAAAATGACATTCTCCTGCGAAGTTATTTCTGCCTGGCACTTGAGTCTATTACCAAGGTTTGCAGAAATGTTCCTAATGACCCCAAAGACAAGGAAAAAAAATGATGTGACTGTCTTTACATCCCAACAGAAACACGCCTACAGATCATGTAAGCCACTGAGTTCCTGGATTGATGATCTCATCCAGCGACTGAATTTCTTCAATACTTGGGCCAAAGTGGCTTATACTGCAATACAGCGTCGGTATGGATGAAAGCTGCTTTACATTTCTTCCTCATTTTTGCTTAAAGCCCAAAGGTTTATGACATCATTTCCCATGCCTGGTCTCCTTGGGTTGTCACAGTTACATGTGAATTAAGCAAGGGCGGGATTCTTGTCTTCTGTTTGAGCTGAGAAAGTGGGGACCTAATAATATTGAGTCTTGAGTAAGTGGGGACCTAATAATGTTGAGTCTTGAGTAAACTCCCTCCACTCCAACAGACAGAGTTATGACTACAACATAGTACATTTCTCTTTCCTAAGAAATGCACAGGGTGAAATGTGAAAGGAAATAATTAGTTACATGTAATTTTTTTTTTTTTTTTGAAACAAGAGTCTCGCTCTATCACCCAGGCTGAAATGCAGTGGCACAATCTCGGCTCACTGCAACCTCCGCCTCCTGGGTTCAAACGATTCTGCTACCTCAGCCTCCCTAGTAGCTGGGATTACAGGCACCTGCCGCCATGCCCAGCTCTTTTTTTGTATTTTTAGTAGTGACGGGGTTTCACCATGTTGGCCAGGCTGGTTTTGAACTCCTGACCTCAAGTGATCCATCTGCCTTGGCCTCCCAAAGTGCAGGGATTACGGGCATGAGCCACCGTGCCTAGCCACATGTAATTTTTAAATGTGTTTGTAGTTACAATAAAAATAGCTGGAGAAGCATTAGAGTAGCGACATCTAGCAAGTGCCTCACAGGATATGGAACATTTCTCTAGGAGCTTTACTCACAGCAGTCCACTCAGTTCTCACAGCAGCCCTGTGATGTGAAGTAGGTGCTATCATTATCATCATCCCCATTTTAGAGATGAGGAAACTGAGTCCAAGGACATGAAATGCCCAAGGCTTCACAACTAGAACATGAAAGTATTGAGATTCAAACCCAGAACTGGTTCCAAAGTCTGTGCCAGGCTGCCTCCTACACCGTTTAACTATAAGTGTAGCAGCAGCACTGCAGACATCTGACCCACATTTCTTTATATCCTTTGGGAGAAGTCTGTGCCTCAAAAACAACAAAGATTCCGCAAGGCGCAGGCAGGATTCCCACTATAATAATGACATCTCTTGTTACCCAAATCTGTGGCCTTGCAGCCTTTGTGGTCCCCCTTTTCCCTCATGAGCTTAAAATCATAGCTGGCTTCCATTCAAGGACCTGATAAAAGTCCTGCATTGGGGGAGTTGAAATGAAAAGTAAAAGAAGGGCCCTGGGAGGGGAGGGACTGGAGGAAATGGCCCCCATCACCCAAAGCTGTGCAATTATTATGACCTTAACCCCCCAACCTGTGGTCTGCCTTCCACTAGGTATATGAGATTTGTCACAATTTGGAAGCAGTCTATTCCATCATCTAGCCAAAAACGCAAACACCCTGAGAAGTCAGAGAACAATTTCCTTGAGGGATTTCCTTCAAGATACTGGCTCCCAGCTTTCTTCTTTCCACAAGGTGAGCATTAGAACCAAGGTCAGCTCCACACCTGGCCCAGACAAGTCTGCACTCAGCCCCTCTATCACTCACCCTTTCACCCTCCCCTTTAGGATGACAACACCTGCGCCTCCACAGGTGTCTGGATCTCTAGTGTGGACTACGGCAGTCTCTTCTCCCTCCCCACCCACTTCCTTCCCTCACCCCAACCTCCTCACATGCCAAATCCACCCACCCCTATCAGATTTCACCTGCGCCTTGACAGGTCACTGTCTCATCTCTTGGCCACTGCTCCTGTGATGTCAAAGGTCAACACTAGCACCCAGCCCCTCCAAAGGCCATGACAAAGGGGCGGAGATGGGCAGCTTCACAAGATTGACTCTGAGCTTCAGCCATTCATTCATTTATTTCTGTAACAAGATTTGATGACTGAATGTTTGCTGGAACCTAGGCCCGACCTGCTCAGCACAAACGTCCAGCAGGGAAGGCAGACATGAACCGGAGTGCATTCCAACGATGTGTGGTTGGGGGATGGAAAGAGAGTTGTAAAGGGGCGACACTGGGCTGTGAGCTCCATGAAGGCAAGAACCAGGTCTGTTTTCAGTTCTGTGGTGTCCCTAGCACCTGATACAGTCCCCAGCGTGCACACACACACACACAAAGCTCTCAATAAATATTTGAAGAATGAATGAATGGCATTCTGAATAGAATATGTGAATGGATCAGTACTTGTGGAGCACAAAACAGGGGAACCTTCACTAAGAACCAGGGAAGCCCACTAAGGAAATAACGTCTAGGATGAGTCTTGAAGCTTGCTACCAATTAAGTATTATCCAGGTGCGAACAGAGGAAGAAGAGAATAATTCGTGGAGCTTACTTGGTATTTACTGGGTGCCATGCACTGTTCTGAGGATTTTGTATAAAAGGGATAAGACATTTAATTCTCATGGCAATCTTATGAGGTTGTTACTGTAACTATCCCTGTTTTCAGAGAGAAAACCTTAGCACAGAGAAGTTAAGAAATTTGCCCCAAGTCATATCACTAGCAAAAAGTTGAGAGTCTCATCCAAGGTCACTCCACTACTGAGTGAAATGATTCTGGAGGGGAGTGGGGGAAACTAATAGGTGACTGAGTCAAGATTTGAACTCAGCCTGACTTAAAAAGTTGAGTGTTTCAATGACTGGACTAAGCAGGGACAGCATTCTTACTAGAGAAAACACCATTTGCACTAGGAGAAACCAAATGTTCATTATGGCCAAAACAAAAGACCACAAAAGGGAGAATGGTGCAGCTGCAAAGTTGGGCACGGCTGGTCCCCAGGGCTGTGTAAGACACACTGAGAGAGTTGACTCCATCCACAGGATGGCCTGAAGTGTTTCAGGCCAGAGAGGTTATGATCCAGCAGCTACAGGAAGGAAGAAGGGCAGGGGTACATTGGAGAAGAACAAGACTGGGTCCTGGTCATTTAAGGAGTCTGCAAATTAGCCAGGTGTGGTGGTGCACACCTGTAATCTCGGCTACTCAGGAGGCTGAGACAGGAGGATTGCTTGAGCCCAGGAGGTCGAGGCTGCAGTGAGCCATGATCGCGCCACTGTACTCCAGCCTGGCCAACAGTGCAAGACCCTGTCTCGTCAAAAAATAAATAAAATAAGGAGTCTGCTTTATTCTCCAGGCAAGAGCTGGTGGTGATCAGAGTAGCGTAGTGGTAGTGAGCAGAAGTGGGGAGTAGGGGGCATTTAGGAAGCAGAACCAACTGGACTCTGTGTTTGGAAGGACAGGGGTAGAGGGGAGAAGGAGGTTAAGCATGACTCGTAAGTCTCTGGCTTGGAAAGCTGGGTGGCTGCTGGCATCATTCACTGAAATACAGAGCACAGGGAGAGGAGCAGGCTGATGGGGATTGTAGTGACAGGCATGGTGAGTTCGAGATGTTCTCATTTTTTTCCTACTGCAGGTAGCCTTTCTCCATGCACCCAGGGGGAATCATGGCCACAAGCACCTCAGCAACCCTAGAGGCAACAGAACCTCCCTTTTCCCAGTGTTCGTATGTCATTTCTTGAGGAAGACTCTGACACACTTGGTCTTGTAGTTGCCCCGGGTCCCATCTTTGTTGCTCAGAGGATGAGGTATGATCATCAGCCAAGATTGGCTCAGAAATGGAGAGGGTCTCAGAATTTACAGCCTGTCTATCCCCACAATGAATACAGGAGGGGTGCTGGCCTTGAAAAACAGCCCCCGTTCACCAGGAGGCTCCTGCAGCTGGCCAGACCAAAGTCAACAAGGCCTAAGAGGGTGGGTGAACTGGCCCTCTGCTCCCACCCAGCCCATCTCTTTTGTTCTCTCTTTTTCCTCCACTCTTCCCTTCCTTCGCCATGAGACATCATTGTTGCTAACCCCAGCAGGAGGCCCTGAGACTCACAAGGAACTTGATGATGTGTGTTCTTCTCCAAAGCCTTTCTTGCTGCTGTGCTTCAAGACTATGGGAGGTCCCGAGGAATCTCTGTGGATACCCTCACCTTCACCCACCATGTGATTTCCGACACCACTGACAAGGATGAGAAGTTCTCCGTATTTATGCCAAAGAAACTCAATATAGTCAGGAGAGCATTTAAGGTACTGGAATATTCAAAGATTAGAAAGGGTAATCATTCATTCTTTCATTTATTCAATCAATTATGCCCTCTACAAACCTTTATTCAGCACTTACCATGTTCCAGGCACAAGAGAGGCAGATCGACAAGGTACAGCCCTGCTTCAAGTCCAAATGCCCTCAGACTTCATGTCTCCCACTCTCTTCCTTGAGGCGGGAGGAAAAAAAGATTATAAATCGTGAATAAAAGATTTAAGTTAATATAATCAACAGACTTTCTAAGTATCCCCTATTATAAATGAAGACAGAATGCTGCTGAGGTCAGGATTAAAAGGTGATATTTTAAATCAGGGGGCAAACCTGTCCTAGCTGCTCTTGGCTGAAATGCCTGCCCCCACCAACTGGCTTATTCCAGAGCTCAGGCAAGTGCCAAGTGGAAACCTGCACCTACCCGGCCCTCAGCAGTGCAGCAAGTGGGACCCATGGAGGCGGCTTGGGCTGGAGCAGAGTACACAGCACCAGTGAGCCAGATGCACCACACACCCCAGCCCTGCCACTCACGCCACTGTCCCCACTGATTTGAAGGACCACGGTTGTCATTTTCTAAATTCCAGTTTGTTCTGGGAATCTATTTTTCTGCTCCAGGACTAATGCTGGAGAGGAAGAGGGGACAGGGTTGGGAGAGGTTGGTTTAAAGATTTAAAAAAAAAAAAAAAAAAAAAAGAATGTGAAAGGATGCTCAATATTTTTAGTCAGAGAAATGCAAATCAAAATAATAATGAAATACCATTTTACACCCAGTAGGTTGGCTATAACCAAAAGAATTGAAAAAAATAATAATAAATAAATAAATACAATCATGTACCACTTAACAATGGGGATATGTTCTGAGAAATGCATTGTTAAGAATGTATTTCCACAAACCTACATGGCATAGCCTACTGCTTACCTAGGCTAGATGGGATAGCCTGTTGCTGCCAGGCTGCAGACCTGTACAGCATGTTACTGTATTGAACACTGCAGGCAGTGTAACACAATGGTAAGTAATTTGTGTACCCAAACACTTCTACACATGGAAATTCATAGATGCATTGCTCTACATCATCACTAGGCAATAGGAATTTTTCAGCTCCATCATAATCTTATAGGACCAGCCTGGTATATGTGGTCTGTCACTGACACAAATGTTGTTATGGAGCTCATGATTAAATAAATTGAGGGTCATACATAGCCATATATTTATGTTTAGCTTTGGTGTAGATACTGCCAAATGGTTTTTCAACGTGGTTGTACCAATCCACAAGCCCACCAGTAATGTAGAAGATTGCTCCATAGCCCTGCCAACATTTACTTGGTATTTTTAGTGGACATGCGGTGATATATCTTTTTTTTTTTTTTTGAGATGGAGTCTTGCTCTGTTGCCCAGGCTGGCAAGCTCCACCTCCTGGGTTCATGCCATTCTCCTGCCTCAGCCTCCTGAGTAGCTGGTACTACAGGTGCCCGCCACCAAACCCGGCTAATTTTTTTGTATTTTTAGTGGAGACAGGGTTTCACCGTGTTAGCCAGGATGGTCTCGATCTCCTGACCTCATGATCCGCCCGCCTCAGCCTCCCAAAGTGCTGGGATCACAGGCGTGAGTCACTGCGCCCAGCTGCAGTGATGTATCTTTATGATTTTAATTTGCATTTCCTTGATGATTAATGAAGTTGGGCACCTTTTAAAATGACTATTGATATTTGGATCTCCTCTTTTGTGAAGTTTCTGTTCAAGACTGTGAACTGCTTTTGTCTTATTGATTTATAGAAATTCTTGTATATTCTGAACATATGCTATCAGATACATGTGTTGAATGTGTTGAAAGCATCTTCTCCCACTATGTGACTGTCCAAATCACTTTCTTAATGATGTCTTTTGATTAACAAAAACTTTTTTCCTGTAACGAAGTCCAGTGTCTCCATCTTTTATTTAGGGTTAATGCTTTTTTATGTTCTGTTTAAGAAATCTTTGCCTACCCTAGACTAAGTTCATGAAAATATTCTCCTGTTACCTTCTAGAAACTATATTGCTTTACCTCTCATTTTCTATGATCTATATATAATTGAAGGCCAGGCATGGTGGCTCACACCTGTAATCCCAGCACTTTGGGAGGTTGAGGCAGGCAGATCACCTGAGGTCAGGAGTTCGAGACCAGCCTGGCCAACATGGTGAAACCTTATCTCTACTAAAAATACAAAACATTAGCCAGGTTTGGTGGTGTGCACGTGTAATCCCAGCTACTTGGGAGGCTGAGGCAGGAGTATCACTTGAACTTGGGAGGCGGATGTTGCAGTGAGCCAAGATTGTGCCACTGTACTCCAGCCTGGGCGACAGAGTGAGACTCTGTCTCAAAAAAAAAAAAAAAAATTAGAATTGAGTTGTGTATGGTGTGAGGTGAGATCAAAGTTCTTTTGGTTCCATATGGGTACCCAACTGACTCAGCACCATTTATTTTTCATTGAAATGGTCCTTTCCCTACTTCAGCTTTGTCATAGATCAAATAATTCTATATGCCTGGGCCTGTTTCTATTGAAATAATCAGATCATTTTTATCCTTTATCTCATTAACATAGTGGATTACATAGAACTATCTGGAGTGTACTTTGTTATAAGGTATGATTCCTATATTAGGAATTTTTTAATGAAGAATGGAAGCTAAATGTGATGAGAGAGCTTTTCAGGGTTTATGGAGATTATCACATAATTTATCACTTTTATCAATATGATTTATTAAAAGATCCTAAGGTTGAATCATCTTAATTGTAATATTTTTTCAAGATTTTTGTATCAATATTTTATGTGATATTATTCTATAGGATTGGGGTGGGGGGGCTTGAAGAGGGTGATGTTTTTAGTTTTTATTGTGCATATTATTAATGGTGGTTTCCTTATTCTAATCCTGTCTGCCTTCTGTCTTTAGGGATCTCACAGTTTCTGGTCCACTGGGGATACTTCTTGTTTTCCAGTGCTTTTATAGATGCATTCTGGGATTTGCGGGGGGAGGAGGTGGTGGACACTCATGCTGTTTGGCCTCTTGGTCCAGTCCTGGTCTTCCTCTCCTCAGCACTCATCAGACTGCACTGAAGATGATTCCGAGACTACCCAGAATTAGTGAATGTTAGAAACATGTCAGAAGAAGGATGGAACTGGGAGAGTTTGTCCTACAAGGCAAAAGACTGAGGAGAAAAAGAAATATTGAAAAGGGTGGTACATGAATAACTAGACTCTAATTCTGCTAGAACTCCAACCAGGGGGAACCCCAAGGAGAAGACACATGTAGTTGATCTAAATTGATGATGATGGTGGAGTGTCCTTTTATAGACAGGGAGTGGCCTGTCACTGGAGCTTTAGGAGAAATCAGGTGACCACTTGGCAAGAGTACTGACGTGGAAGAAAGCTCAGGTTCAGATGTGTTTTCGACTTGAGGTTTACCCAACTGTTTATTAAGTCACTCACTTGAAAGTATGGGTCCAAAACTGCTCTGACTGTTGGAAATACTGAGATGAACAAAAGAAAGCTCCTGCCCTCCAGAAGATCCCAATCTGCCTGATAATGATGGCACTGATGCTTACTAGCCCACAATGACTGAGTACTATGTGCTAAGCTCTTTACCTGCATTATTTAATCCTCACAAATTATCCTCATTCTGTAGGTCAGGAAACTAAGGTTCCAAGAGGCAGATCGTAAGCTTTGAACCCAAGTCTAGCTGACTCTACACCCATAGCCTAACCCCTTCCTACATAACCCATTAGACATGAAAAGGCTACAAGAGGCAGATGTGCACCAGGGCCTTTACTTATGACTCACAGGGGGAGTGCAGGAGTATGGACTGCCCGCCTAACTTTACTTTTTGCCTCTATCCATCTAATCAGATGTTCTCAGTTATCTCTGCTTTATACAAAGAACCAGCTTCCACTGAGTTGAAGTAAGATTACTTTCATTTATTCTGAGTGGCTCTTTGAAGAGTTAAATCACTCCAAAAGGGGCTGTTTACAAATTACCTACAGTTTAGGTTTTTCAGAGGAAAAACCCATGTAACCTATGACCAAGTTACGCCAAGTATAAATGGAAGTGACGTTGTCAAATGCGTTAGATTAACTTCTTCCAAGATGGTTAGGAAAGGACAACACTAGAACAAATGCAGCACAGGAAAATCTGCATTTATGTAAGTTAAGGGGAAGAGAAGTAAAAATCATTATACAAAGCAATTCCCAGTAAAATTCTTTTTTTTTTTTCTTTGAGACGGAGTCTCGCTCTGTCACCCAGGCTGGAGTGCAGTGGCGTGATCTCAGCTCACTGCAACCTCCACCTCCCGGGTTCACGCCATTCTCCTGCTTCAGCCTCCCGAGTAGCTGGGACTACAGGTGCCCACCACTACGCCTGGCCAATTTTTTGTATTTTTAGTAGAGACGGTGTTTCACCGTGTTAGCCAGGATGGTCGCGATCTCCTGACCTCGTGATCTGCCCGCCTCAGCCTCCCAAAGTGCTGGGATTACAGGCATGAGCCACCGCACCCAGCCAAAATTCTTTTATAGAATAAGCCAAAATAGGAAGTGCTTAATATGAGTTCAGCTTGCACCTCCAGGTAGTCACATTCCAGAGTAGACAACACAGAAGACGTCACCAGGCACAGCACAGGCTCTTCCACACTGCCGCCCCTGTGTCAACAAGCTGGCCCAGGCTGCATCAAGGGGGAGCTCAGGACAGCGGTGCCCACCCTTTCTCTTCAGAGACCTGCCCCATCAGAGGAGATGGCAGAGCCCTCCAGGGTGGCCAGGTACTTGGCCGCCAGCTCCTCCAGGCTGGGCATCCCTCCAGCACACCTGTAGCATGTGGCTTCACAGGCCCACCTTAGGCACACCTGGAGTCACCTGGAATTGGAGCTGCAGGCAACTAAATTTTCTACTTCGCAGACCTCATCAGAAACTCATTTTACTTAACCCTTTATCATTAAAATGTAATCATCTATTTAACCTGTATCATTCAAAAATATATGGAACCTGGCCAGGCGTGGTGGCTCACACCTGTAATCCCAGCACTTTGGGAGGCCAAGGGGGACGGATCACTTGAGGTCAGGAGTTCGAGACCAGCCTGGCCAACATGGTGAAACCCATCTCTACTAAAAATACAAAAAATTAGGTGGGTTTGGTGGTATGCTCCTGTAATCCCAGCTACTCGGGAGGCTGAGGAGAACCACCAAAACCAGGGAGGCAGAGGTTGCAGTGAGCCAAGATCGCACCATTGCACTCCCGCCTGGGCAACAGAGCGAGACTCCGTATCAAAAAAAAAAAAAAAAAAA